CGGCGCTGGAAGCACCGCCAGGGGGCCCCAAGCGCGGATCCAAGCAATCCGCGCGGACCGTCGAAAGCTTATGTTTATGCCGGTTTTGGTGCTTCGAGGTATGGGTACTCCGGGTTTCTTGATACGCGCGGGGGGTCCCCCCCCCCGACGGGAGTCAGCCTCGCCTCGTCGTCGCGCCGCGCGGAGCGCCGTCGGCGCGCGGTGGCTGCCCACGACGGGGGTCGATGTGGGGTTGTCGGCGGGGGTGACGCCCCCCCGACGCTTGTCAAGAAACTCGGGGTACCTTTTGCGAGGCGGGGATTTATCCATATCCACCGCCTGGGAACCGACGTCCTGGTGCCCCAGCGGGCGGTGAATATGGATATACTTCGGCCCCCGGGGACCCGCTCATAGCCATATCCACCGCCTGCCGAGGCTCCGAAAACCGACCCTCCAGGCGGTGGTCCTGTACAAATCCCCGCGTCGGACCGTTTTCCTCCTCTGACCAACGTCGCCCCTGAGTGAAGGGGCCCTGGGACACACAAATAAATACACATTAATAAAAAGATTCCCCATATTTTTCCATATTTCCTGGGTTTTTGTATTCCCCCCCCCCTTCCCATATTTTCGCATACTTTCTAGGGAATCGACGATGAATTGTGTCTGTGTGTGGTTTTCCCTTCCTGACTGAGGTCGCCCGAGCTCGCGCGCGGGGCCGCGCGCGGCGCGAGGCGCCCGCACCCCTGCGCCCTCGCGCCACGCCCTGGAGGAGGGGCGAGCGCTGCGGGCCCGCACCACCGGGGCACTCTTGCGCCGGCGGCCGGGCAGAGGGCGACGCACAGGGACGTACTGATACAACACAGGGCAGCTTTTAATACATAGGATTTTTGTTATATATATATATATAATAATAATAAAAATAAGCGGATTTTTAATACATGATTACTATATGAATAAATTTATGCATGAACTCATCGTTGTTTAATAATGAATCCCCGCATTGTTGTACATGATCCGCACGCGGAGCATGTATTAAAAACGGCACTGTACGTCCTCCTTGGAGGCGCGCGTCCGACCCGAACATATAGTAGACCCATCTTGTAGCATATCGTTTCCCGAGCGGTGTGGCCAGAAAGCGCCCGCCACGGCGCATATACTATGAGAGTTCTCGGTGCGCGCGTCGCCCCTGTGGGAGGCGACGCACATGTAGTGTAAGCATGTTGGGGTGACGCCGACAAAGGCCGACTGCGCTGGCGATGGGAGGCTTAAGCGGAGATGCCGTTAGAGCGAACTGTGCCACCATGCAAGAGGAGGAGCGAGGAGGGACGCGGCCGAAAGAAAATAGGGACGGGGCGGGCGGCTCAGGGGTCAGATCGCTCCCCGAACACCGCCAGGCACAGAAGGCGCGACGATCTTCGCCCCCCGCGGGCGACGGCAACGACGGCCGGCGGCGGGCTCGGGTCTCGATAGACGATCTAACAACACACACGCAAACCTGTAGGGAGGAGGAATGGGGAAGGGCAAAACGATGAAGGCGCTGTATGTATGGGTGCGAGCTGTCGGACCCCGAGGGGGGCTCCCGTTCGAGCGGGGATCTCCATCCGACACCTAGAGCCCCCCCAGAATTCCAACCCAGGAAAGGGACGTATGGGTATGGGTGTCAGTTGGCAGCTGGTGAGCGATGGCGTCGGCGCTGGCTCCCGACACCGCGTGGATCGCTCAACCTCGAGCGAGCGTGGTTTCCCGATGGCAGACAGTCGGGCGCGGCCTGACCGCCCCCTGGCAAACCATCCCCTTCCGTAGCGTCGCACTCGCCTCTCAAGCTGCCCACCAGCCGCACACACGCACACACACACACACACACACACACGCGCGCGCGCCTCGGGCGACGAGGGGGGGACGTCACGGCAGGGGATGGTTTGCTAGGGGTCGGTTAGGCCGCCCCTAAGAAAAGCGCGTTCCACTACTCGCAAAGCAACTGCTCGCAAATGGCCTGGATCCGGCGCCGGGGTTCACGATACACTACATCGAGGCAAGCATGTGTTCCTCCGACGTTTGCGAGTAGACGCGTTGCGAGTAGTGAAACGCGCTCGGTGAATATGATAGCGCAGAGCACTCGAGGTTGGCCGACTCCGGGCCACTGCCGGCGTGTGGCCGTGGACGCCTGCGACGGCGTCGCCGCCGCGTCGACGAGGCACGAAACTGCCGTGCCTCTGCCGTCCCATTATTTTTTACCGTGGGCACGACCGCGGTGCCAAAGGCAGCACTGAGCTGCCGTGGACTGCCCAGGTGGTGCAGCTTCTAGAAGCTAAACAACCAGGAAGCATGCACCAAGAGCCTGCAGGTCCCGATGGGGAGGCCTGCAGACAGCGGCGCGCCAGAGGAGGATAAGGACGATCGGCTTCCCGAGGGTACCACTGCGTCCTCCGCCTCTTCGGTCGTGTCCGGTCCATCCTCGACCACTCTCGACGGCCAGCCCCGCTCGAGAAGCTGAGGAGCCCTCCCCCTCGGTCCGCCGCCCTCCAAAGCGGGGCTCTGGCAGAGGGAGAGGAGGAGGAGGAGGAGGAGGAGGAGGAGGAGGACGTCGCCGATGGTGACGACGAGGAAGAGAGAGGAGGGGGAGAAGGCCGGAGGAAGAGGAGGCGAAGTAGGCAGTAGAAGCAGGCAGGATGAGGCGAGATTCCTCCCTCCTCCAGATCCTCCTCCTCCTCCACCACCTCCTCCTCCTCCTCCTCTCCCTCCTTCCCTCATCCTCCCTCTCCTCTCATCTTCCTCTCACCTCATGCCCCCATGCCTCCTACTCATCGTCCTGCCTCCCCCTCGTCCTTCCTCGTCCTCCTGCCAGCCGGGAGATGGAAGGCAGCAGGAGGCAGGTCGCAGGAGTCCAAGAGGCTAGGGCTCCCAACTTCGCGCTCCGCGCTCCGCGAAGCGCGAAGCGCGAATAACTTCGCGCCCTCGCGCCGCCCCCCCAAAGGGAGAATAGGAGGACGAGGAGGAGAAGGAGAAGGAACGAGGACCGCGAAGCGCGAAGCGCGAATAACTTCGCGCCCTCGAGGGAGCCCTTGAAGAGGCAGGAGCGCGAGGGGCCTTGACGATCTGCCCCACGGCGCTCTTGAAGCCCGTGCCGTCCTGGCGGCGGTCGGATCCCAGAGGGCAGGGTCTGGCGGCGCGCCCGCGGGGGGCAGGCGCAGAGTGTGCGGGCCTCCACAGAGGGCTCGGAAGGCCTCGGGCATCCTGAGAGGATTGCTCTGGAGACCTCTCTCTGACTACCTACCAGACCACCCCAACCCAACCCGAAGGCCCGACTTTCGGGTTGGGGGGGGTAAGGGTTCCACGTGTGTTTTTTCCATGCTTTCCGACCCCCCCCCCACTGGAAATCGAGGGTAAATCCGAGCCTTCGGGTTGGGTTGGGGTGGTTTGGTGGGTGGTGACTCTCGGAGCCACAGAAAACGTCTCAGAAAGCCCCAGGGGCTTCTGAGAACCCCCACCGCCTTCTGAGAAGGCCTGCTCCCTCTCACTTCCCCCCCTCGAGCACGGGTGGCCCAAGGCGTCGTACCCAGCTGGGCTCGAGCTAGCCATGGAGCGCCCAGCCCATTGCCTTCTCGTGGCGCTTGGGGGGCTCCCACCACAGAACCGGTATTAAGACAGTTGTTCTCGGTGTGGGATGGCAAGAATGGGCGATTTCAAATTATCGCAATTCTTAGCTCAGTTTTTGCACTGTCCAGAACACCTTCCTCGGCATCCCGTCCGCGCCGAGGGGCACGGGGGCTCCGAGCCCATCTAAGTCCCACTCAGGCGGCGATGCGCGGCTGTGTTCGTCGTGGTGCTCTGCATGGACTCCTTCATCGGCATTCCGTCCGCAACCGAGGGGCACGGGGGTTCCGAGCACATCTAAGTCCCACTCGGCGGCGGCTTTTTCGCTGGAGTGTGGTTCTGGGAGTTTTATTTCAGTACTTCAACCTCCCCAGTATTTCGGTTGGTTGTATTGAAGGGGTGAGCATTCAGTCGTTGGCTTACTTTGCTGTGGTCCTTTTGTATTAGCTGTTGGCGAGGCTGTCCGTGGAGGAGGCGATCCGTCAGGATTGCCCGATGGCCAGTGGTGTTCTCACCCTGCAGTGGGCTGTGTCGAGCCGAATCCATTTCAGCTTAACCTCTGCCATGCTTTGTGACTTTCTGCACCGTGGGCGTCGTTGCTGTCTGGAGGGACCCATCCGTGATATCATATCGGTGTTCCTCGGGCTTCTGCCGGCCGTGTACGGGTTGAAGTGCGTCTCCTTCATGTTGGTCGCCTTCTTCGACAAGCTCGGGGGGGACTTGCGTTGTCGAATAAAATCGCTACGCGATGGCTGTAATCCATGTAATCACTCTCACTTCCCCCCCCCTGAGCGCGCCGCTGAAGAGTGCGTGCAGGCGCACGCAGCTCGCAGAACTCCCGCGCCACTGCAGACCGCCAGCAGCAGGTCCGCCACCGAGCCCAAGGCACGGCGACAGCGCGCCGTCGGGTCTTCGGGGGCCTGCTCCCCCCCCCCGGTGCGAAAACACGGAGCGAGTCCCAGGGTTCTCAGGGGCAACGGCCCCCCCGCTCACGAGTCCTCCTGTGCGCTGCCAGGGAGCACCGCGACACCTCTCGGGATCCTGAGCAGCAGCGGTTGGGGCCAAGCCTCCAGCACGCCCAAAAACCATCCCGGGGCCTGTCGCGGGCCGTCTGCTTCCCCCGCTGTTCAAATAGGGGAGCATCTACAGACCTGATGTTCCCCAAACCTGATTTTCGTTCGTCGGATCTACGAATCGAGCCTGCGAGAAAAATACGTCGAATGGATACAGATCACTGAACATTCTACGTATTTGTCGGAGGTTCGGCGAACAAATCAATGCGGGGTAAATCAGTTCTGTAGTCGATCTCCCACTCGAATTTTCCAGCTGGGCATCCGCTCCATCTTGTGTCTGTTCCCTCGTCGCCTACCAAAAAAGGCACTGGCGACCAGCGCAAGCTACGGAGCCTGCTCGAAAGCATGCTGTCACCGAGACTCCAGCCCACCTGGGTGCATCGCATGCAAAGGCCACACCGAGGTCGGCATGAGGCCCTGAGTTCAATACAGCTAGACCTAGGACATCCTTAGAGAACACGAAACCCTCCACCGGCCAACACACACAGAACATCCAAGGGTGCCCTCCCAAGGATGCACAAGAACATCAAAAAAACACAATAAGCATTAAACGTACGCTCCACGAACCGACCTCAATCCTACACCTCGGTCCGACTGTAACAAAAGGTAACAAGAAGGGCCGCACCCAGTAAGCACCCGAAAAGGCAGGGCGCACGAAAACAATAACAACCCCGCGGCCACCCAGAACAGGGCTGCAGCGGAGAGGCAGAACGGACAAAAAGCGGAGACGTGCTTTTCACACAGAAGGGCTAGAAGCACGTGAGACTACGTATTCAGAATGCTCACTTCTCCTCTGAACTCTTGGGCGTGTACTTCAGGACCCCGTGGAGCTACCCAAGAGAGCCTGGAGGGAGTTCCAAGAGAGCCCATGAGGTTCCGAGACGGCCCAAGAGCGCCCGAAGACGCCCAGGATGGCCTGTGGCAGTCCCAGAGGCCTCCAAGACGCCTCCAGAGGGCCCGAAGAGCACCCCGAGAGGCAAAATCCGTTGATTTACCTTGCACGTTTGGAAGATTTCAGCGTTCTCGCTCTTTCGGGCTTCGAATGCTCCAAGACGGCCCAAGAGGCCCGCGAGATTACCCAAAGACAGCCCAGAGGATTACACGAGGACTCCAAGACGGTCCAAGATGGCCCCAAGGCGGCCCAAGAGCCTGCAAAGACGGCCACAGACAGCTCCAAGAAGGGCCCAAGAAGGGGACAACGAGCATACATGTCCGGCCCTCCACCCCAAGACGACCCCCGGGACCGCCAGAAAGCCCCCAAGCGACGCCCAAGAGGCCCGAAAGAGGCTCCAAAGAGACCCCAAGAGGAGCCAAGAGGCTCGCAAAGAGCTTCCCTAGAGGCACCCGAGGGGCCTCCAAGACAGGCCGCCAAGATAGGCCCCCAAGAGCCCTCCAAGAGGCCCTCGAAAAGCATCCCAAGAGGCCCTCGCGTGCCTTCTAGAGACCTCTGGCCCACAGCCCAGGCATAGTGGCAGGATCGACCGAAAGCCACGAGAAATGGGTCGCCAGGATTACGAGCCGCGATGATGCAACATGGGCTGGTGGTGGAGTGAGCGAAGCGCTCGAATAGATCCTCGCAAAAAGGGCTGGGACTCTACGCCCAACGACCAGAAAATCGCCACCGTACAAGCCAGCGGGGCCCGGGGCCCTCTGGTCGACGCCCAGGAAATCGCAACCAACAGTGCAGGCGGGACACAAAACGATGTGGCCGACGACTGGCAGATCGCAACCAACAGAGCAAGCGGGACCGTGCTCCCTGCAGGGCCTGATCCGTGAGGGGGGTGCTGCAACAGGTACTCCAGATTTCGTAATAAAAGGGAGGGGGTCTGGACCCTCCAAGACAAGCCATGTCAGACCTCCCCCGTGGGAGAACCCTCCAAAACATCGTCCCCAGACCCCCCAGGCCCTCCAAGATAGCCTGGAAGAGACCCCCCCCGAAATGAGACCCCCCTCCCTTTATTACGAAATCTGGAGTACGGCGCCGCCACGCGGGCGCGCCAACTGGTGCCGTGGGTGGAATTCCGTGCCTGGGCAGCACCTGCGTGCGGGGTGCGCCGACCTGGGCCCGGTGCCTCCATGCGGGCGCGCCATGTGGCGCCGTGGGTGGGGCTGCCGGTGGGGCGTGGTCTGCGCGAGGGGTGCGCCGAAGTGGGCGCAGTGCCGCCATGGGTGAAGGGGCCCTGGGACACACAAATAAATACACACAAATAAAAAGATTCCCCATATTTTCCTATATTTTTGGGGGTTTTGTCTTCCCCCCACTTCCCATATTTTCCATATGTTCTGGGGAACCGACGATGAATTGTGTCTGTGTATGTTTTTTCCCTCCTGAATGGGGGCGCACCCATCGGGGCCGCGCCCGGAGCTCCCCGTGGGGCAGGATCTCTGCGAGGGGTATGCCCCGGTGCGCGGTGCCACCACGCGGGCACGCCCACGGGCGCCGCGGGTGCAGCTCCCTGCGGGGCATGAGGCGCCAGCGCCCAGCGCTCGGCCCACGCGCGCGGGAGGGCAGCCACCCGCATAGAGAGAGAGAGAGAGACAGAGAAAGAGAGAGAGAGAGAGATATCCTCGATATCCTCGAGTGCGTTTCCTCCCGGGAATGCTGCGCAGGTCCGGCAGGAGCCGCCCACCATCACCGAGATCGGGATCCTCTTCCCTCGGTGGAGGAACACCGCCGATATTGGTGTTGGTGTCAACCTCTAGGCCTGCGAAGAAAGAAAAAGAGAGGGAGCGAGAGAGAGCGACGGGTGAGGCATCGCTGCGAATCCCGCCCCCTGGGCTCCGCGAAGTCTGTGGTCACCGCCACCATCAGGGGGGTCGGGGCCTCCACCCTCGGGCCACCGCGGCCGTTTTCCTCGCGGGGCGGGCGCCCGGGCGCGAGGGCGAGCCGCGATGCTCCTCGTGGTGGTCCTAGGATTCTCGTCCTGCTCCCCCGATGTATTTTCTTCCTCGTCGTAAGCATCACGGCATACAATCAGCAACATCAGCACCAGCACTCTCACCATCAGGAACATCATCGTCATGCTCCTCTTCCCCTCTCTCATCATCGTCCACATGTTCAACCTTCCTCATCCTCAACATAACCACCGTCGTCATGATCGTTATCGTCAACATCACAATCGTCGCCATCCCCATCATCAGCAACAGCATCATCACTGCAACCATCACGAGCACCGTCCCAATTACCAGCATCATCGTCGCCATCATGAACGTCATCGTTGTGGATGTCATCGTCATCGCCATCATCCTCCCCATCGCCCTGCGACCCAATACGTTCCTCCTCCTGCTCATCCAACTCCTCCTCGTCTCTCTCCCCTCCCCCATCCCCGCCGTCATGCCTTCCTCCTGGTCCTGGTCTTGGTCGGGACCCTACTCGGGCGCCCACTGTTCCTCCTCCCGCTCTTCCACCGCCCCATCCTGATCCTTCTGCTGTTCCGCCTCCTGCTCCTGATCCTCCTAGTCCTCCTCCTCCTCCTCCTCCACCTCCTCCTCCTCCCCTTCCTCCGCCTCCTCCTCATCCTCCTCCTATTCCTCCTTCCTCCTCCTCGTCCTCCTCGTCCTCCTCCTCCGCCTCCACCTCATCCTCCCCGTCCTCTTCCTCGACCTTAACAGTATCACCACCACCACCAAAAGGCAGCGGGGGAAGGGGAGAAAGGAAGAGAAACGGAAGACGGAAGGGGACACCTGGGCACCAGTGAAGACGTTGCCTGGGAATCGCATCTTTCCAACACGCGGTCGATGTCATCCACGCCTGTCAAGGCAAACCCAATCATCCAGTCCAGACGACGGACGGACGGACGCCACTGCGAACAGAGTTCGGCCCCCGGGGGCTGGGCGGGTAGCGCCGCGGCGCTCAAGTGTCCTCGACGTGTCGCCTGCAGACTGCGTTTTCCAGTTCGTGCCAACCCGGCGCGTCTGCAGCAACGCAGTGCCAGTTCTCGGGTGAAACGTCTTGTCCTTCTCTGCATAAGAATACCAGTATGTCGTCGATCCATCTGTCATGGGGGTTATGTGCAGGGCGGCAACGGGATGTCGGATCAAGTGCAGCATGCCATCGATTGACTTTCCATATCCATGCCTTGCTGTATGCAGATGCAACTTTGCGCGCCCACCTCCAAACCCCCTTCGTCCAAGCAGCCAGCCAGTCATCCAATTTGATCCGTGCGATGTATCCTTCCACTGCACGCGTGACCCGCCGGACCCATGAAATACAAAACTCGACTTCACCATGGCTGCTGTTGCTGCTCAGATGTTCGCCCTCCGTGGAAATGTCGTCGCCTGCGCTCCAGTCAGGACGAGCCGTCGGCCGTCGATCTGATCCAAAAACCATTATGAGCACCTTCCGCTGCGTTCTCTGCAAGTTCGTCTGTTCAGGCGCAAACAGCGTCCAAGAAGCAAAACCATATAAGACAATAGGGGTCACGATGCTGTCGAACAAGCGAAGCCGAGAAGAACGCGAGTACCGCTTGCACGTGAGCTTCGCTTTGTTGGCCACGAATTATTTCCATGCCCGCCGGATACGGTGATCGACTTCATTCCCAGAATCGCATTTGGATCCCCATTGCCGCCAAGATATTTGACATGCTTCGCCGCCGGCAAAATCTAAATACGCCCGCCGTCGACGTCCACGCGGCGCCTGCTCCCCCTGATCCTCTTGTCGGCATTGGTGATTTGTTGTCTTGTCTGGATGGAGTAGCAGCCCGACTTCTCCAGCGAGGGTGCGCACGTCGCATAACATACCTTTGACTTGCGGCAATGTCTTCGCGAGCAGCAATTCATCGTCGGCAAAGCGCAAATTTGTGAGTCTTGATACAGAAGAGAAACTCAACTACATCCCGCGCTGTTTCTTATGTCATGTTGCTTCTGCCTTCCGCATAACGTCCTCCAACAAGCAATTGAACAGCAGCGAGCTCAACGGGTCACCCCGCTTCGTGCCCCGGTTGATGCAAAACCACTGGCTGCAAGCATCAGTTTTTAACTTGTGCTTTCTGCCCGGCGCTGAGCTTCTGCAAAAGGTGGACGTACTCAACCGGCACTGTCTGCGAGAGCAACGCGTTCAACGATGCCTGGTGCTCGACGGAGTCGAAAGCTCCTTGAAAATCAATGGCGGCAAACCGAAGAAGCATCTGGAACTCGTCCGTCTTCTCCTGGAGCATTGCCATGGTGAGCAAGTGGTCATCGGTCGAATAGGCTGCTCAGAATCGAGCCTGGTCTTCGCTTTGGTTCGGTCCCAGAACAGGCAACAGCTGGTTATACAGCAAACGAGAGGCCAACTTGACTTGTACAGCAATGGAAATATAGTGACGGGCCTGTAGTTTGCTGGCAGCCGCTCATCTCCAAAATTGCGCGACACCTTTATGATAGATCGTCTCCAGGACTCTGGCGGTTCTGCTTCCTGCTACAGCACGTCGCTGAATTAGCCCAATAGCACGTCTATCAAATCACCCCCTGCATCCAAGAAGATTTCGGCGACCACCCCGGCACTGTCAGCGCGCCGGTTGCATGTGAGTTGTTTGATTGCCTGAGCTACTTCTTGACGCGTAAACGCAGATACGCGACAACTGCCCCCTTGCCCGGCTGCACGTGCCGGGGTTTGGAAGCCAACGCGTGGACGGTGGAAATCCTCGTAGAACGCCGCGAACACGTCCGCCATGGCTTTCCGATATGTGACAGGCTTGTTGTCTTCCAGCATGCACGTAAGCATCGATTTCCGCACATGCGCTCTGAAGTGGGGAATTCCTGACAAACCAGAAAATCATCCAGGGCGCGCCCAAATATAAGCGCAGCCTCTTTTTGACGCAACTTCTCGATGAGATCGCGGATTTCCTCACTGAGAGATGCGCGGGTTGAGCTGCCCCTGGCACCGAGCGACCGTCTGCGGGATATCAACGCACAAGTTCTCTCCCGCAGTGCCTTCGCGGAGGGTTCCCCTGCATCGTTGGCGCACTTGACATTGACCACGGCCGCGTCGAGGAAGATCGTTTCTAACTCCTGGGCTCAGGTAGGCACGTCAGTGCCCCAACGCTGCTCCTGCAACGAATTGAACAAAGAAACGGCGTAACCAGCAGCGCCAACTTGGCTCCATGCAATTTTCTTGCAGGTTCACTCTCTCCGGCTTCAGACGAACACAAGCCGCTCTATGGTCAGATCCTACATGAAGTTCTGGTACACTACCGGAATCGCATGCGCCTATCCACGCTCTGCGGTCGACGGGCACGCAGTCGATTTGTCTCAGCTTCTTGCCGGCGCCCTGGCGCGCCCATTTTTCCCGCGACGGCCCGGGGGAAAAAGTATTCGCCGACGCAAGATTCTCTGATGACGCCCATTGCTTGAGCCACTGCCCTCGCACATCTCGCTGTTCAAGCCTTGCGCGCCTATTACTTCGGCGCTGTCGGTGCGCAGCCGGCTACCCACATTCAGCGTTGAAGTCGCCACCTACAACGAACCTCAAACGATGGGGTTTCGCCTCTCTCCGAAGTCGCGACAGCATCGTGCACAACGATTGAACGTGATCATCGCCATTACCTGCATGAGGAAAATATATTCCAACGAATCTGTACATGACCCCATGCATTGCCAAGTCTACGCGCAGGAACCGCTCTGATCATAAGACAAATTTTGGTAAAGAACATGCTCATCGTTTGTGAATAAGGATCGCCACGCCACGGGCATTCTGCGCGCGCCCTGAACCAGCAAAAAATGCCCCCCAGTTGTCTCAAATAGCTCCCGATCAGATGCGCGCCATGTTTCGTCGATTATCACGATGTCTCAAGAATGCCCATCAAGTTCACGAAATAATTATTCCGATCTGTTGTCGTTGGTCAGCCCACGAACGTTCTTGTGATAAATGTGCAACGCCGCTCCTTCATCAGCGGCGACTGCCCGTTGCACTGTCTCCTGCGGCGCAGGCTGCTGCGCCCCTGCGCCGCGCAGCGCTGCCGCGGGAAAGCCCCCACTATCACCTTGCAGCTTGCCGCGGCCTCCGCCGACAGAAAATTCACGATACGGCATATCTTCGGCTCTTCTCCCCACGATGCGGGAGGGGGGCGGAGAGGGGGGAAGGGGGGGGAAGAGGGGGGGGAAGGGAGGGGAGGGATGCTGCATACGTCCGCACTCTGAATTACAGATCGCTGTCCGTCTCTGGATCTTGATTGATTTTGTTCCGAAATTTCTCCGAAGATGCGTTGACCTCCTTTTCAACCGATTTGTCCAATAGCCGTGGTACGCCACTGCCCGCTGTTGTCATACCATGCTACCTTTTTCCGTTTTTTGCAACAACCATCTTTTGGCCCCAGTTGATGTGCACATCTTCGTCGCTGTAGTCTGGCTTCTCCGTCAAGCGTTACTTTGTATACCCCATGCGTTTGTCGTCGAGATCCTCATGTTTGGTTTGGCTGCTCTTGAAAAACCTTCTCCAACCACGGCTTGCCCTCTGCACTCCTGGCCTTCCTGTGAAAATCAACTTTCGCACGAATGTTCGGGAACGCAAGCATCGCCATCTTCCCGGGGCCCGTAAATGTCGAAATCTTGATGCTACTCGTATACCCAACGATCTCATTAAGGACCTCCTCCATTCTGTTAATCATGCTTTTGATGACGAGTGGCTCTGGAAATCCCAGCGCCACCACCTGGTTGTTCCTGTCCTCCGAAACATTGGCATCATCCTTCATGCCATCCTTGCCACCAAGCTGCTGTTTGATCTCCCTGATGCCCTCCATCTTACTTTCAATTATATATTCGATTTCGGTTTTCGGTATGTACATTTCCTCAAGCTCGATATTCGGCTCTCCATCTCCACCTCCTCCATCTTCTCCTGAACTTCCTCCGCTGACCTCCTTGCGTCCTGTGCCTCGA